TTTAGGAATTATTTTTATATGACTATCGAAGTTTCAAAATCTCATAGCTAAGCCAAAAAGGCATTAATTTTAAATCGGAAAGCTGTTCTGTGCTAGTTTTTAACTCGTTAATAAATCTGCATACTCAGTTTAAAATGTAAAAAATGAACATTTTTGCAAATTTTAACGATGTAACCCCTTTCCTTTTTTTCAAAAAATGGAGCATTTCTGAAAAAAATGTTTTTCTGCCGGATATGGCTAGAAAGATTCGCCTGTTGATACTGATCAAGAATATATATAAAATATAGGGTCGGAAATGCCTCCTTCACTGTGTTGCAAGCATCTGACTAAAATGAAAATATCCTAAAAGGTATTAAAATAGGTATAAATTTAGGAATTATTTTTATATGACTATCGAAGTTTCAAAATCTCATAGCTAAGCCAAAAAGGCATTATTTAAATCGGAAAGCTGTTCTGTGCTAGTTTTTAACTCGTTAATAAATCTGCATACTCTGTTTAAAATGTAAAAAATGAACATTTTTGCAAATTTTAACGATGTAACCCTTTCCTTTTTTTCAAAAAATGGAACATTCTGAAAAAAATGTTTTTCTGCCGGAGATGGCTAGAAAGATTCGCCTGTTGATACTGATCAAGAATATATATAAAATATAGGGTCGGAAATGCCTCCTTCACTGTGTTGCAAGCATCTGACTAAAATGAAAATATCCTAAAAGGTATTAAAATAGGTATAAATTTAGGAATTATTTTTATATGACTATCGAAGTTTCAAAATCTCATAGCTAAGCCAAAAAGGCATTAATTTTAAATCGGAAAGCTGTTCTGTGCTAGTTTTTAACTCGTTAATAAATCTGCATACTCAGTTTAAAATGTAAAAAATGAACATTTTTGCAAATTTTAACGATGTAACCCCTTTCCTTTTTTTCAAAAAATGGAGCATTTCTGAAAAAAATGTTTTTCTGCCGGATATGGCTAGAAAGATTCGCCTGTTGATACTGATCAAGAATATATATAAAATATAGGGTCGGAAATGCCTCCTTCACTGTGTTGCAAGCATCTGACTAAAATGAAAATATCCTAAAAGGTATTAAAATAGGTATAAATTTAGGAATTATTTTTATATGACTATCGAAGTTTCAAAATCTCATAGCTAAGCCAAAAAGGCATTAAATTTAAATCGGAAAGCTGTTCTGTGCTAGTTTTTAACTCGTTAATAAATCTGCATACTCTGTTTAAAATGTAAAAAATGAACATTTTTGCAAATTTTAACGATGTAACCCTTTCCTTTTTTCAAAAAATGGAACATTCTGAAAAAATGTTTTTCTGCCGGAGATGGCTAGAAAGATTCGCCTGTTGATACTGATCAAGAATATATATAAAATATAGGGTCGGAAATGCCTCCTTCACTGTGTTGCAAGCATCTGACTAAAATGAAAATATCCTAAAAGGTATTAAAATAGGTATAAATTTAGGAATTATTTTTATATGACTATCGAAGTTTCAAAATCTCATAGCTAAGCCAAAAGGCATTAATTTTAAATCGGAAAGCTGTTCTGTGCTAGTTTTTAACTCGTTAATAAATCTGCATACTCAGTTTAAAATGTAAAAAATGAACATTTTTGCAAATTTTAACGATGTAACCCCTTTCCTTTTTTTCAAAAAATGGAGCATTTCTGAAAAAAATGTTTTTCTGCCGGATATGGCTAGAAAGATTCGCCTGTTGATACTGATCAAGAATATATATAAAATATAGGGTCGGAAATGCCTCCTTCACTGTGTTGCAAGCATCTGACTAAAATGAAAATATCCTAAAAGGTATTAAAATAGGTATAAATTTAGGAATTATTTTTATATGACTATCGAAGTTTCAAAATCTCATAGCTAAGCCAAAAAGGCATTAAATTTAAATCGGAAAGCTGTTCTGTGCTAGTTTTTAACTCGTTAATAAATCTGCATACTCTGTTTAAAATGTAAAAAATGAACATTTTTGCAAATTTTAACGATGTAACCCCTTTCCTTTTTTCAAAAAATGGAACATTCTGAAAAAAATGTTTTTCTGCCGGAGATGGCTAGAAAGATTCGCCTGTTGATACTGATCAAGAATATATATAAAATATAGGGTCGGAAATGCCTCCTTCACTGTGTTGCAAGCATCTGACTAAAATGAAAATATCCTAAAAGGTATTAAAATAGGTATAAATTTAGGAATTATTTTTATATGACTATCGAAGTTTCAAAATCTCATAGCTAAGCCAAAAAGGCATTAATTTAAATCGGAAAGCTGTTCTGTGCTAGTTTTTAACTCGTTAATAAATCTGCATACTCTGTTTAAAATGTAAAAAATGAACATTTTTGCAAATTTTAACGATGTAACCCCTTTCCTTTTTTTCAAAAAATGGAGCATTTCTGAAAAAAATGTTTTTCTGCCGGATATGGCTAGAAAGATTCGCCTGTTGATACTGATCAAGAATATATATAAAATATAGGGTCGGAAATGCCTCCTTCACTGTGTTGCAAGCATCTGACTAAAATGAAAATATCCTAAAAGGTATTAAAATAGGTATAAATTTAGGAATTATTTTATATGACTATCGAAGTTTCAAAATCTCATAGCTAAGCCAAAAAGGCATTAAATTTAAATCGGAAAGCTGTTCTGTGCTAGTTTTTAACTCGTTAATAAATCTGCATACTCTGTTTAAAATGTAAAAAATGAACATTTTTGCAAATTTTAACGATGTAACCCCTTCCTTTTTTTCAAAAAATGGAACATTCTGAAAAAAATGTTTTTCTGCCGGAGATGGCTAGAAAGATTCGCCTGTTGATACTGATCAAGAATATATATAAAATATAGGGTCGGAAATGCCTCCTTCACTGTGTTGCAAGCATCTGACTAAAATGAAAATATCCTAAAAGGTATTAAAATAGGTATAAATTTAGGAATTATTTTTATATGACTATCGAAGTTTCAAATCTCATAGCTAAGCCAAAAAGGCATTAATTTTAAATCGGAAAGCTGTTCTGTGCTAGTTTTTAACTCGTTAATAAATCTGCATACTCAGTTTAAAATGTAAAAAAATGAACATTTTTGCAAATTTTAACGATGTAACCCCTTTCCTTTTTTTCAAAAAATGGAGCATTTCTGAAAAAATGTTTTTCTGCCGGATATGGCTAGAAAGATTCGCCTGTTGATACTGATCAAGAATATATATAAAATATAGGGTCGGAAATGCCTCCTTCACTGTGTTGCAAGCATCTGACTAAAATGAAAATATCCTAAAAGGTATTAAAATAGGTATAAATTTAGGAATTATTTTATATGACTATCGAAGTTTCAAAATCTCATAGCTAAGCCAAAAAGGCATTAATTTAAATCGGAAAGCTGTTCTGTGCTAGTTTTTAACTCGTTAATAAATCTGCATACTCTGTTTAAAATGTAAAAAAATGAACATTTTTGCAAATTTTAACGATGTAACCCTTTCCTTTTTTCAAAAAATGGAACATTCTGAAAAAATGTTTTTCTGCCGGAGATGGCTAGAAAGATTCGCCTGTTGATACTGATCAAGAATATATATAAATATAGGGTCGGAAATGCCTCCTTCACTGTGTTGCAAGCATCTGACTAAAATGAAAATATCCTAAAGGTATTAAAATAGGTATAAATTTAGGAATTATTTTATATGACTATCGAAGTTTCAAAATCTCATAGCTAAGCCAAAAAGGCATTCATTTTAAATCGGAAAGCTGTTCTGTGCTAGTTTTTAACTCGTTAATAAATCTGCATACTCTGTTTAAAATGTAAAAAATGAACATTTTGCAATTTTAACGATGTAACTCCTTTCCTTTTTTCAAAAAATGGAACATTCTGAAAAAATGTTTTTCTGCCGGAGATGGCTAGAAAGATTCGCCTGTTGATACTGATCAAGAATATATATAAAATATAGGGTCGAAAATGCCTCCTTCACTGTGTTGCAAGCATCTGACTAAAATGAAAATATCCTAAAAGGTATTAAAATAGGTATAAATTTAGGAATTATTTTTATATGACTATCGAAGTTTCAAAATCTCATAGCTAAGCCAAAAAGGCATTAATTTTAAATCGGAAAGCTGTTCTGTGCTAGTTTTTAACTCGTTAATAAATCTGCATACTCAGTTTAAAATGTAAAAAATGAACATTTTTGCAAATTTTAACGATGTAACCCCTTTCCTTTTTTTCAAAAAATGGAGCATTTCTGAAAAAATGTTTTCTGCCGGATATGGCTAGAAAGATTCGCCTGTTGATACTGATCAAGAATATATATAAATATAGGGTCGGAAATGCCTCCTTCACTGTGTTGCAAGCATCTGACTAAAATGAAAATATCCTAAAGGTATTAAAATAGGTATAAATTTAGGAATTATTTTATATGACTATCGAAGTTTCAAAATCTCATAGCTAAGCCAAAAGGCATTAAATTTAAATCGGAAAGCTGTTCTGTGCTAGTTTTTAACTCGTTAATAAATCTGCATACTCTGTTTAAAATGTAAAAAAATGAACATTTTTGCAAATTTTAACGATGTAACCCCTTTCCTTTTTTTCAAAAAATGGCCTGTTGATACTGATCAAGAATATATATAAAATGGAAATGGAATCGGAAATGCCTCCTTCACTGTGTTGCAAGCATCTGACTAAAATGAAAATATCCTAAAAGGTATTAAAATAGGTATAAATTTAGGAATTATTTTATATGACAATCGAAGTTTCAAAATCTCATAGCTAAGCCAAAAAAGCCATTTTTTGAAAAAAAAATAAAATAAAAAAATAAATAAAATAAGGGGTTACATCTTAAAAGTTTGCAAAATGTTTCAGTTTTTTACATTTTAAACTGAGTATGCAGATTTATTAACGAATTATTAACGAAGATTTGTAAATCAATAGATTTTTGACTGAGTTATGATCTATTTTAGCATTCCTTTTTGATTTTAATTAAAATCTCGATTTCTGCTTTTTTGTTTGCTTTTGGCAGCTGCGGATAAAGATGACACATCAGAGCTTCGGTTGCCTGGTCAAGTGGTTCTATCTGGTGCTGATCGTGCACACGCTCCTCTGCATCGGCCAGCTCGAGTGCCGCCAGCACCACAATCGGAATAATAATAATAATAACAACAGAAGATCGGACTCAGCTAGCTCGGAGGAGAGTCATAGCAACACCAGCGATGGCCTGGACAACTTTGGAGACAACGATAGCGGCATGGTTGTAAGCCATCAGCCGCGGAGGGGTCAGCGTAAAAAACAGCAAAACGGCGGCGGCAATGGAGGAGGAGGAGGTGCAGCTGCTGGAGGCAGTGGAAATGGTGGCGGTAGTCACCGACATAACCGCGAGGAGAACGGCATCTCATTGTGGATCAACGAGCAGCAGCTCAAGATGCTAACCGGTGAGGGCACGCAATCATAAATCTATATTTTCTCTAATGTCTATTAATTTCTCCCCTGCAGCGCTTTACTTTCCCCAAGGATACTCGGAGAAACTGTATGCCATACACAATGGACGTGTGACCAACGATCTGCGCGACACCACACTGTATAACTTCCTGGTCATCCCGTCGGAGGTGAACTACGTGAATTTCACCTGGAAGTCGGGTGCTAGGCGCAAGTACTTTTATGACTTTGATCGACTGCAGACGATGGACGACAGCATACTGAAGGCACCGACGCTATCCATCCGAAAGAGCGGACGCATACCGCAGGAGCAGAAGAGTATGTAAATCAGGGATTGTCAGAAGAGGAGAACATGAATTTTGATTGAGGATTATTGGTGGCCAGATTTTAGCATATTCCTGCCCTGCACCGGCAACAGCTCCGGCACCGCGTCCTTCAACGTCGGCCTCAAGATCCAGACGCGCCACAACAAGCCGCTCTCGGGCACACCTATACGCCTCAACTTCAAAAAGGAATGCGCCCACAGAGGTGTGTATGATATAGACGCTTCCAACCCTACTTCACTAACAACTTTGCAAGGTAGTGTATATGAAATATCAAGCAATGCTTTTATCTAGTTATTAATTGTATAATTTAGCATCTACATTTTGTTGTGCACACCTTCCCATCCGTCTGCTCCCTGAGCGCTGTACACCCCCACACCTACACCCACACCCACACCCAGCCCATGCATGCCCCATCCATATGCCCCAGTCCATTCCATAGCCACACCAAAGACAATACTTAGAATAAGATGCATTTCGACTGCAACAAGATGCTACGGCATTATGTATCTTGTTCTTTTTTATCGTCTTTGTCCATACCCCTTGCCTTGTAGTCGCTTTTCACGGCTTTTCCGCGTCCAGCTTTCTCCCCCTTTTTTCACTCCACCCATTTCCAACAAGTGCCTCTTATCCAGGAAGGGGAATATCCGAATACGGCTACTCTCTAATTGAATATAAAGTTATGGGATTCTCTTTGATCTGAGCCAGAGTGTTCCCAGAGTACCTTGTTCATTGAAATCAGTCAGTCCATTCAAAGGAACATATTCCTCTCTTTGAATCCCCCATAAGGATTCGAGGCTTTGATTCCCTATCCCATGTTGAAATCTATGTATCCAAACTCCTACTTTCCGCACGCTCTCAGTGCTGCTCCCTTCCTCCGATATGCTATGGGGTGACCCTGAGTGTTAAATGTGTGTGTTATTATATGGCGAACGTGACTGCGAACGATTGAACTAAACTAAAAAAACTTAAGCTCCCGATCCAGAATGCAGCTTGAAGTGCGGCAAGAATGGCTATTGCGACGAGCGTCACATCTGCAAGTGCAACGTCGGATATACGGGCAAGTACTGTGAGACGGCCTTTTGCTTTCCGCAGTGCCTCAACGGTGGCAACTGCACGGCACCCTCGGTCTGTACCTGTCCGGAGGGATACCAGGGCACCCAGTGCGAAGGCGGTGAGTACAGAGATTATGCTATATATAGATAATATTTCGGATGGGAGATACTCCACTTAAACTGATAAATCGGACCAATACAATGGGAAATAGAAACAGAAGAGTCTTTGATAATATATATAAATTTACGCAACATTTCATTTCGGATTTGTCCTACAAAATATTTTTAATGCTTAACACCACGGCGAAGAGACCACAGAACAGAATGGAACGAGTGTTCCTTATTTTGGTATATACAAGAAGGAGTACTCCTTAGCTCGCGGCCGCTTAAATCTTCTTCGAGATGGCTATGGCCGTCTTGCAACCAAATTTAATCACCTCGGTCATGGCCTGGTAAAAGGGCGCCTGCTCGGCCCCGCAATCGATGCCGGTGTCGTGGTGCTCCTGCTCCTCGTCCCGGAATTTGGTGATTGTCTGTAGCAGCTCCTGTAAAAGGTTTCAGGTTAATTTCCGAGCCATCTTTTTGCCTTGTGCTTGTGGCTTACCTTATCCGGGTTGGGTGAGTCCATAATCTGGCGCAGCTGGTCGTTATAGTGCTCCACAATCACAGTCTCTACGGCCACCGTACAGGCCATAGCCGCCTTCTCTCCCATCAGAGCGGTTCCGGCGCCCAGCATGAACCCGGCCACGTTCCACAGCGGCGTCATTATGGTTGGACGGACGCGATGCTGCTGAATGAGCTGCTCGAACTGCCGGCGGTGCTCCTTCTCCTGCTCCCACATGTGACCGATTGTCTTGCCCATTGGTCCGTTGCCTAGAATGGCCATTTGGCCGGCATAAATACGATCAGCGCCTAATTCGCCGGCATGATCGACGCGTATGATCTCGTCGGTGAGGGTATTTGGACGTGGGCGTAGTGGCGTTGTCGCTGCGCCCGTGGCTGCTCCTCCAGCTGTCGAGCTAAGGCAACGTGCGGGTAGCAGGCGGGGAAGCCCTTTCAGCATTGCGGCTATAAAAAGGATATAGATATAGTATAAACTGTAAACCAATCATTCGGTTGTCCCTGCCCTCCTCTAGGTATTTGCAAGGACAAGTGCCAGAATGGCGGCAAGTGTATACAGAAGGACAAGTGCCAGTGCTCAAAGGGTTACTACGGCCTGCGCTGCGAGTACTGTGAGTAGAATAATACGACCAAAGCGATCCCCATCCTAATCGCAATACCTCGACACAGCCAAGTGCGTGATACCGTGCAAGAACGAGGGCCGCTGCATCGGCAACAACAAGTGCCGCTGTCCCAACGGACTCCGTGGCGATCACTGCGAGATCGGGCGCAAGCAGCGCTCCATCTGCAAGTGCCGCAACGGTGTCTGCCTTTCCCAGAAGCGCTGCAAGTGTCATCCGGGCTTCTATGGTCGACACTGCAACGGCCGTAAGTGCTCCAGCTTCTCCTGATCCTGCGTCCTGATCCACTTTACAATTCCCCTTACTCCCTCCATTACAGGCAATCGGAGTCATGCCCACTGAGAACGATGTTGACCCGAGTGGAGGCGCACGCACACCATCTATAGTAATCTTCATTTAACACTTGCAAGTTGCAACACTAATTCTAATAAAAGCAACAACAACAACCACAACAGCGACAAAAAGGATGAATCGAAAATAATTCTAATTGTGATAAAATTTTTTTGTAATTTAAACATTTTTAAATTAAAACAAAATCTAAGAGTTGATAGGTCGGCGGATGTTTACACTCTCGGGCTCTTTGGGTTACACTTACCCATTATATTGCACGAGCTTTTCAAAGGCCACAAAATGCAACAAAAAAAATATAGTAAATAAAACTGATCCGGCGAAATTCTTGTGTTTATTACGCACAAGCTAGGGCTGCAAAAAAAACATCGAGTACTATCGATATCATCAATGTCATCGATATTTATAAATATTTGATTATTTCAAAGTCTGTCCGATCTATCGATGTTTTTGTAGCCTTACCAGGGATAGACAACCACATTGGCGGAGTGAAATTGATGTGTGAACACATGTTTGTTTGCCCGATTAAAAATAATACAAAATTCAAAACAATATTTTACTATTTATTAATGTGGATTTTAATGGTGATGATTAATATAGATTTACCAGATTTTTTGTTTAGCTTATGCCCTGAAATTTTGAAACTTTATATCTGTATTTTTATATGATTTCTTTTTAGTCAAATTAAAGCTTAAATAAATCACAATTAAACCAAAAATTTAATTTCTATCGCCTTATAAATAACTCAAAAACAATATTTGCTCACCAGGTACCCATAACATTTAACAAGCAGCCGATCGGCTACGTAAATCATCGGAGGGGAAATGTACTGGAAAGTGATAGAGATCAGTTATAAGCTCAGATTAATTTAACCCTACACTGGAGGTGCATAAAAATAATTGCGGACAATATTTTTTGTATGTAAATATGTATTTATTTAGGTTAAATTAATAGTAGGCGAGGCTTGGCGGATAAAGATGATTGCTTCCAAAGGTTTAAAATAAATTAATAGCTTAGCGTATGTGCCGTTTTATGACAACAAAATATTATTTTAAATGAACGGCCATATATCGCCTTGTATGCGGTAGAGGGTTAACAGCAGACGAATTCAGGTCAATTTAACCCTATACTGCAGGTGTGCAGATATAATTGCGCAAAATATTTTTTGTATGTAAATATGTATTTATTTAGGTCACATTAACAGTAGGCGTGGTCTGGCGGATCAAGATGATGGCTTCCAAAGGTTTAACATAAATTAATAGCTTAGCGTATATGCCGTTTAATGAGAATAAAATATAATTGAAAATGAACGGCCATATATCGCCTTGTATGCGGTAGAGGGTTAAGCAATTAGCCTAGTGCACTGGAAATTGAGAAGAGAGAGTGAGAAGAGGGAGAGAAGATCCGTTATTAGCAGGCATGTTCTGCTGCTGGGTTGCTGCCTGCTGTTTATGTTTGCCTGGTGTACAGTCGTCTTACGATGGTTGAATTTATTAAGCTAAAGACGCAAATAACAACAAATACAACAACAATTATGCCACAGCTTGAGGAAATTCGCCATACAAATTGGTTTAAACACCATGTTTGAACACCAGGAACGCACAACATTTAGCAAGCAGCCGACCGGCTATGTTAATCATGGGAGGGGAAATATCCTGGAAAGTGATAGAGATCCGTTATGAACTAAGAGCAATTTAACCCTACACTGCAGGTTCATAAAAATAATTGCGGACAATATTTTTTGTATGTAAATATGTATTTATTTAGGTTAAATTAATAGTAGGCGAGGCTTGGCGGATAAAGATGATTGCTTCCAAAGGTTTAAAATAAATTAATAGCTTAGCGTATGTGCCGTTTTATGACAACAAAATATTATTTTAAATGAACGGCCATATATCGCCTTGTATGCGGTAGAGGGTTAACAGCAGACGAATTCAGGTCAATTTAACCCTATACTGCAGGTGTGCAGATATAATTGCGCAAAATATTTTTTGTATGTAAATATGTATTTATTTAGGTCACATTAACAGTAGGCGTGGTCTGGCGGATCAAGATGATGGCTTCCAAAGGTTTAACATAAATTAATAGCTTAGCGTATATGCCGTTTAATGAGAATAAAATATAATTGAAAATGAACGGCCATATATCGCCTTGTATGCGGTAGAGGGTTAAGCAATTAGCCTAGTGCACTGGAAATTGAGAAGAGAGAGTGAGAAGAGGGAGAGAAGATCCGTTATTAGCAGGCATGTTCTGCTGCTGGGTTGCTGCCTGCTGTTTATGTTTGCCTGGTGTACAGTCGTCTTACGATGGTTGAATTTATTAAGCTAAAGACGCAAATAACAACAAATACAACAACAATTATGCCACAGCTTGACGAAATTCGCCATACAAATTGGTTTAAACACCATGTTTGAACACCAGGAACGCACAACATTTAGCAAGCAGCCGACCGGCTATGTTAATCATGGGAGGGGAAATATCCTGGAAAGTGATAGAGATCCGTTATGAACTAAGAGCAATTTAACCCTACACTGCAGGTTCATAAAAATAATTGCGGACAATATTTTTTGTATGTAAATATGTATTTATTTAGGTTAAATTAATAGTAGGCGAGGCTTGGCGGATAAAGATGATTGCTTCCAAAGGTTTAAAATAAATTAATAGCTTAGCGTATGTGCCGCTTTATGACAACAAAATATTATTTTAAATGAACGGCCATATATCGCCTTGTATGCGGTAGAGGGTTAACAGCAGACGAATTCAGGTCAATTTAACCCTATACTGCAAGTGTGCAGATATAATTGCGCAAAATATTTTTTGTATGTAAATATGTATTTATTTAGGTCACATTAACAGTAGGCGTGGCCTGGCGGATCAAGATGATGGCTTCCAAAGGTTTAACATAAATTAATAGCTTAGCGTATATGCCGTTTAATGAGAATAAAATATAATTGAAAATGAACGGCCATATATCGCCTTGTATGCGGTAGAGGGTTAAGCAATTAGCCTAGTGCACTGGAAATTGAGAAGAGAGAGTGAGAAGAGGGAGAGAAGATCCGTTATTAGCAGGCATGTTCTGCTGCTGGGTTGCTGCCTGCTGTTTATGTTTGCCTGGTGTACAGTCGTCTTACGATGGTTGAATTTATTAAGCTAAAGACGCAAATAACAACAAATACAACAACAATTATGCCACAGCTTGACGAAATTCGCCATACAAATTGGTTTAAACACCATGTTTGAACACCAGGAACGCACAACATTTAGCAAGCAGCCGACCGGCTATGTTAATCATGGGAGGGGAAATATCCTGGAAAGTGATAGAGATCCGTTATGAACTAAGAGCAATTTAACCCTACACTGCAGGTTCATAAAAATAATTGCGGACAATATTTTTTGTATGTAAATATGTATTTATTTAGGTTAAATTAATAGTAGGCGAGGCTTGGCGGATAAAGATGATTGCTTCCAAAGGTTTAAAATAAATTAATAGCTTAGCGTATGTGCCGTTTTATGACAACAAAATATTATTTTAAATGAACGGCCATATATCGCCTTGTATGCGGTAGAGGGTTAACAGCAGACGAATTCAGGTCAATTTAACCCTATACTGCAGGTGTGCAGATATAATTGCGCAAAATATTTTTTGTATGTAAATATGTATTTATTTAGGTCACATTAACAGTAGGCGTGGCCTGGCGGATCAAGATGATGGCTTCCAAAGGTTTAACATAAATTAATAGCTTAGCGTATATGCCGTTTAATGAGAATAAAATATAATTGAAAATGAACGGCCATATATCGCCTTGTATGCGGTAGAGGGTTAAGCAAGCAGCCTAATGCACTGGAAATTGATTTGGAAGGGAGAGAAGATAGAGATCCGTTATAAGCTCAGATCAATTTAACCCTACACTGCAGGTGCATAAAAATAATTGTGCAAAATATTTGTTGTATGTAAATATGTATTTATTTAGGTTAAATTAATAGTAGGCGAGGCTTGGCGGATAAAGATGATGGCTTCCAAAGGCTTAACATAAATTAATAGCTTAGCGTATGTACCGTTTTATGACAACAAAATATTATTCAAAATGAACGGCCATATATCGCCTTGTATGCGGTAGAGGGTTAAGCAAGTAGCCTAATGCATTGGAAATTGATTTGGAAGGGAGAGAAGATCCGTTATTAGCAGGAGTGTTCTGCTGTTGAGTTGCTGCCTGCTGTTTATGTTTGCCTGGTGTACAGTCGTCTTACGATGGTTGAATTTATTAAGCTAAAGCGCACATTAGACACGAAAAAGAACAAATACAACAACAAATATGCCTTCCTGAAAAATGGTAAACATCCGTTATAAGCATGCATCTATGAAAGCCAACAGCTGATCGCTGCTGATGGTTGCTGGCTGATGTTTTTGTTTATGTTTATTTTGTTCGTATTATTTTATAAAGGTTAATCAAAAGAATTAAATGCATTTGATTAACTTTAGTTCGTTTAAGGCACATTTAAATCGGCCCTGGCCGATCAATGTAGCGATGGCCTATCGATAGTTACACCAGTCAGCTGATCCATGGTCGAAAAATTCAAAAAGGCACAAAACAAAGCCGCTAAAGATTATATTCACCCTTGAAGGAGTCTGCTTACGTGTCCCTTGATCTTGTATATGGATTATATTTCATCAAGATCATCCCAGATTGCCCAATTGGCGAGTGCATCTGTCGCTTTTAGGCGGCACAATCGCAGTGCGATCAGCAGTTAGCTGTGGGGCGTTGGTTCATTCAGTTGGCGGAGCAACCATTATTTAATTACGTGCAAGTTTTAGACACTCATCCAGTTTGCAGGCAAAATGTCGACGCAGCAGCAGCAGTTGGCCTTCATTGAGCGCTACCTGGTGTACGATATCTTCAAGTATTTCGGCTCTGGTGCTGAGCTGGAGGCGCACAGCGTGGAGTGCTCCAATGGGCTAGACGGCTTCATGTCCGCCCTGTACACGGTGCAGCTTGAACTGAGCATTGCTGACCGCAAGCAAACAGAAGTGGTACTGGTGAAATTCATGAAGGGCACGGAGGAATTTCGGGAGAGCAGCAACTCGTACATTCAGTTCGGCAACGAGACCTTCGCCTATGCCGAGATCCTGCCAGCCTACGAGCACCTGTTAAGGGCGAGCCACCTGGCCAGCGATGTGGTGAGCAACTGGGTGCCGCGCTGCTACTACGCCAAGTTCGGCCAGGTCGATGGTGGGTCGTCTCGCATTGTTTGGAAAGACTCCCTCTAATCCTCTCTATTTCTCTCAACTCCCAGGCCTAGGTAGTGGTCGCGAATCCGTGCTGGCTCTCAAGCATCTCAAGGGCGATGGCTATCAGCTGGGACCACGATTGACGCTGCGTCGGGACCAGCTGGAGGCCATGGTGGGTCTGATTGGACCCTTCCACGCCTTGGGCTATGCGACGCGGATCCTGCAGCCTCAGGTCCATGCCCGCCTTCGCTCTGGCATCGTTGAGATGCCCTTCGTCTCCAGTTCGGGTCGGGGCATCTTTGATGTTCTGTATCGCGTGGCCTTCGACCGCTTCTATGAGTTTTATGACAGGAAGAAGGACGAACTCCTTAGAGATGACAAGGATGAAGGCTTCGGGGCCGCCATCGAGCGACTGCGTGAAAAGTATTTTGCAAATCCTACGCACCTGTTGGAGCGGATTCGCATCACATCCCGTGATGAAGATCAGCCGGATAGTTATTTTGCAACGATACTTCACGGCGACTACAACCGCAACAATGTCCTCTTTCACTACGGCGTCGATGACAAGGTGGACAGCATTCGGGCCATTGATTTCCAGGAGCTACGCTTCAGCACCACGGCCATCGACCTGAGCTTCTTCATGTACATGAACACTCCATCCGAGGGTCGCAAGGAGATCTTCGCGGATCTGTTGCGCAAGTACCATCGGCACATGATCGAGATGCTGGAGCTGGTGCTGCGGCGTAACCAGGCGGAGCTCAGTGAGGAGCGAGTGGAGCAGTTGCTGGCGGACTACAGGTGGGAAGCTCAGTTCAGATTAGCCTCTCTGATTCACATCATTTCTCTCCTTAGCTTCGAGCGCTTTGAGGCTCACTTCAAACGTTACGCTTTCTACGGCGTCATGGTCTGCATGCACTTCATGCCCTGGCTCCTGGGCAGCGAAACGGACTGTGCGGAGCTATCTCGACTCTTCGACACGGACATGCATGGCCCGGCCTTCCATCAGCTGTCACTGGACATAGCCGGTGACGTGGCCAACGAGGAGATCTTCAAGACGATGCGTCATGCCTACGAGCACGGCTACATGGACGAGATATAGGAATGTACTGACTATAGCAGCTTGGCCGATGCCTTATTACCCACTAAATATATTCCATGTACTGGCAACCCACTTAGCTAATCTCTGCCAGCCAAGAACTGTATTTCGTCGACCTTGATTCACTTTTGAATATTTATGTATGTTGAGTTGGGCGACTGGTATCAATCCGCAAGCGGAAACTATTTGAACAAGTGCCGCTGCTGCAGCCGGAGCACCTCAGTTGTCTATTTAAGCAGCAGGGCTCGAATGGTCTTGGCCACGGAATGACATTAGAAGCTACTCACCAGAACACTATGCGCTTTATACTTGGCATCTTCATCCTTGTGATCGTTCGTCTTGGCTCTGGGTTCCAGGTTCAAACGGAGCACTCGATTGTGGAGGAATGGAGCTGGCGGGATAACCAGAGCAATGGAGATTCTGCTGGCTATGAGTACTCCGAGTTGCTGGACAAAGACATCGATGAGGAGGATGGTTACGACGACGAGGTGAATGAGATCAACCACAATGGACAGCTGGAGGTTGCCGAGGATGAGGATGAGGATAGCTGCGAGTACAGCTGTCCACGCTACTATCGCCCCGTTTGCGTCCTTCGCAACGGTCAGCCGATGACTTTTGCCACTCCCTGCGAGTTCTACAACGAGGTGCGCTGCGCTAGCGTCCAGCAGAGACGGGGTCAGCCGGTGCCTCACTTCCAGTTTCTGCACAATGGTAGCTGCTAGCTCCCAGACTGCTGCTCAAGGCCTTGGCTTACATTGTTCCAAATCGTTCGTTTAATATGTTTCTTGTAGGTTTCTTTTTTTGTTTTTTATGCTTACAAGCAGCCCGCCTTTGCGAACATTCTGCTTATTTCCTTGTCATTCTCCTGGCACTTACAAATCTAGTAATGATTGATAATGATAATAATAATAATAATTACGTGTTCTACGTTAAGTTAACACAAACTAAACAAAAAAAAACCCTTATTAGTTTGGAACTAAGCAGCCGACACATAAAATGGTCGCGAATAGTGATTGGCTGGTAATATTGGCTTGGTTTATGTCTTTTAGGGTCCGGTTTGGATCACATAGCTGTTGCGCCGCTTAACGATGCGCAGCACGTTGACAACTGGTGGAGCAGTGGGAGCAGCAGCAGCTTGAGCCGATGTTGAGGGCAAGTTGGGATTGGCGGCGGCAGTGACGGGTTCACTGCCGTTCATCAATGGATTGTCCAAAGACGTTACAATACGCCTTCGAGGTGCGGTGGCGACGGCGGTGGCAGTGACGGATTTATTGCCATTCATCAATGCATTGTCCAGAGGCGCTATAATACGCCTTCTAGGTGCGTTAGCTTGCGGCTGTTGTTGCAGTTGAGACGCCTGAACCTGCCTGGATATCCTTATCAGCTCGTTGGGGTTCAGCGTCTTACGACGCTGGCTTATACGCTTAAGTGGCTCCTGAGCAGCTGGCATTTGTCCCAGAGCAGTTGGCACGTATGCAGGTGCAGCTGAAGAGGCTGGCCTTGAAGTTGAGGGCACGGCGACGGCGGCGGTGGCTGGTAGATTGTCGCTCGGAACCCGATTTGCCAAGGACGATACAGTTTGAATCTTGAGCATCTTAGCCGGCGGCTGTCCTTGCTGTTCCTCCCATGGTCGATGTGGCGACGACTGATCCTGCCTGGATAAGCTAAGCATCTCGCTGGGATTTAGAGTCTTGCGGCGCTGGCTTATCCGATGTGACCGCAGGGCAGATGGCATTTGTTCCTGAGCCTGCACCGGAAAGTTTCGTTGCACAGGCTGCTGCCCATGCACAGGCTGCTGTCCTTGCACCGACTTTAAGTTTATGTGCAACCGAATGGGCGGCCTCTGAACCTTGGCCATCAATTCCGTATACAGTGCCTTCATCATATATTCATCGTTGAACCGCGTGCGACGCAGACTGCTCTTGGTGATGATCAGCCCGTTTTGAAACTGATAGTGCACGTTAATGAGGAACTTGCGTAGGTCTCCATACGAGTGCAGCTCTCGGAAGCGATGGACATCCTCACGGTGCTGGGAGTAGCAGTGCTGGATGTACTCGTCAAAGCCGCCGGGAAGGTGCTTCGCACAAAAGTGACAGTAGAGGAAACGATTGTAATGATCCACCATGTGACGCAGCGTTGTCAGCTCTTCCCCCGAGGTAAACATGCAGAAGAAGCAGTGGTAGATGAGCGGCGTCGTCAACTGGCGGAAGCAGAAGCGCTCGCCGGGCTTGTTGTGCTCAACACGGCCATGCTGGGCAATGGCACCCTTCGTGGGCATAACCACGCTGCACAGATCGCACTGGTAGTATTCGTTTTGGGCACCGACAGTGCCTTCGCCGCTGGTGCCACAGGCGCTGAGTTGCTGCAAGGCAGCCAGCTCGTCGTCCGTCACGTTCTTCAGATCGTTGGGCAAGTGACCCTCCCGGCTGATGTGATGTGCCAAATCCTGCCAGCCCTGATACTTGTATTCGCAGTAGGCGCACTCCTCTGGCCGCCGCACATCGCAGGCCACAATATTCCGGATGGAGTGGACTTTCAGCAGGTGGTCGTCGCGCAGCGTCTTGGCATTACTTCTGAAGCGCTTGCATTCGGAGCAGAGGAGCTGCGGCTGGACGCGGAAGTAGAAGGGCTGATCGGGATGGGCGTGGGCCCAGTGCTGGGTGCGCAGATCCTGTAGGTTGCCATTCGTCTCGCCGCAGTGCGTGCACGCGAATTCGACGATTTTCTATGGGATTAATAATAGTGGTTATAATGGAATCTCTTGGCTTTCAAGATCTCTTATGGACTTACCTGTTCCTCCTGACTTTCGCTGGACTCATGGTCATCCCTCTCGTCGTCCGAGGCAAGCAGATCCACCACCTCGGTGATGACAAGCTCTGCTTGCTTTGGCTCCGGTTGCTTTTGCTGCTTCGTCTCCGGCTGCGGCTGAGGCTGAGGCTGACCTTCGGCCACGTTTGATGCTGCATTCTGGGCTTGCTTTACTTCCGTTTGCACCACCTTTACCGGCTCGGGCTCATCCTCCACAATGGGCTGACCCAATTCCCAGCTTATGATGTCGGGAATTTCGGTGGTCACACGCTCGAACTGCATCACCGCCAGCCCGATCTTCTTCGGATGCGACATCTCGAGGTGCTGGGACACAATGCGCTCCTGTTGATGCCCGAACTCGCAGTGGGGACACTGCCATTGAAAGCGCGACTTGTGCATCTCATCGCAGTGTTGGCCGATCCGCAGGCAGCTGTTCGCCCCCTTTAGGCACACGATGCAGTAGAAGCCAACGGTCTGGCTCTTTTTGTGTGAAATCTGCTGGAAGACCTGCACAGGCTGCACGCGCCGACCGGGATGGCTGCTGAGTATGTGATCGATCACCTCGCTGCCATCCTTGTTTCCAACAATGCAGTAGGGACAATGGTACTGATACTTCCGATCGTGAACGGCCACCGCATGGGCCATTATTTGGACGGCCGTCGGCAGGATAAGCTGGCACAGGTTGCATATATACTCCAGATGGGTCAAGCGAGTCGTCTTGGCTGGAAAAAGGAACAGATGGATCGTAATCTTGGCTAATTATCATCATAACCATTATAACTTACCGGCCTTAAGCCAGCGGGCGGAGGTTGTCAGATGTGTGTCGCTGTGACGGTGAATCACCACATCCACCTCGTGGAGCGGATGACGTTCATGGATGTGCCGCTCGATCGTGGAGCGCTTGTTGTTGTAGCGCATGCAGGCACCACACTGGTAAATGTGTCGCTTGTGCAGCATCAGATGCCCCAGGTACTTATCCACGCTGCTCTGGCCCGACAGGGGCAGCTTGCAGTGATGGCAGAAGGTCTCCTCGCTGTAGCAATGATCGACGGTCATGTGGTGGCGCAGCTCCAGCTCCGTGCCCAGCAGACGGATGCAGCGGCTGAAGCCGCAACGGTAGCGCTTATCCGGCGGAACGTACACCAACTTGGGCTTGACGGCGTTGTGTTTACCCGGTGGCCGGACTGATGGCGTCTCTACCTGGGCTTCAGCCGCACCTCCGGTGCTTTCAGTGGGATCATCTTCCCCCACCGAAACGACATCGATTTCCTCCTCAGCTGCTACAGCAGGCTGGCTCTCCTCCAATTGGTAGGCCTCGCGTACAACTTTCTCCTTGTGCTCGTACAGATGCCGTTGAAGGAGACTCCGCATATTGCTGCTGAAGTTGCACTCGGCGCAGCGTATGGGCTCCGGGAATTGAATGATTCGCGGCAACAGACGCACCTCGGAGCCGCGGTAGACCGTCTTTGTGCCCTGTCGACGGATCATCAGCTCCTCCAGCAACCGGCGCTGGAAGCGCTCCATTTCCTGCTTACCAAATGGCTGGACAACGACCGTCAAGAAATGCTGTTCACGTCTGCAACCAATGCAGCGGCAGCAGTTCCTCCTACACCCTTGGCAACTCCCGCAGCATCCGGTTCAGTTGGCAACTGGATAAACTGCAGCTGGCGATTGACGAGCTCGAATTCCTGGCTATGCTGGATGCGAACATGGTAGAGCATCAGCCGCTTGTTGGCCGCCGTGGCCAGACAGATGCTGCAGAAGAGCTTGTGGCGGGCGTGGGCCTGCTGCAGGTGGGTTCGCAGCGCCGGAGGCAAGAGAGTCTGGGCGCAGTACTTGCACTTGACCTGATCGCTGCCCTGGTTGAGGCTGCTGCGTATATGGTAGCGCACATGGTTGACAAATTGCTCCTCCGTTAGCCGCACGATGCATCCTTTCTGTGGGCAGGCATACAGTTTGTCCTCTGGAACAGGAGTTTCTTGATTAGTACAATGTTTGAATAGGAAAGGAAAAAAGTAAAGAAGAGTTGAGTCTTGAACTTTTGATAGAAGCTGAAAGCGAAATCATCATCATTATCATATTATCATATTGCTTAGAACTTGCAAGAGGATTCGGTAAATAGAAGACCTTAGATTGAGCAGAATAAAGGATCCCGAAAGGGTTTTGGTAGCTGGTCCAATTCTGCTTCAATGAAAATATAAAATAGCTTGACATGTGTATGCAGCAGGAGGTTGCAGTCCTCCTTCTCTGGAGGATTTCTTGATTTACTTGGACTGTTGGTCTGTGTGTAGGAGTTTAAGCAGAAACGCCGATAGAAAGATGCTTGGCAGAGAAGGGTTCTTGAACGATTTTGTACAGGTTTGGCCTGGTCATCCAGTTAAAGTCTTGAAGAGTATATATGGGATTTATACACATTTGATAAGAAGTTCCTTTAGGAAATGAAACAAGACATAGGATTGAATGCTTGAGTTTGAACGTATGGAAGCACAGGTATTAGTCTTCCAGGTAAGTCCTGAAGTTGGTATATACGGAATTCTAATACATAGTCTTGAATTTATACAAATGTCTGTTCGTGAGGTTCTTCAGTAAATGGAACTAGGCTTCAAGAAGGAACTTCAAGCTTGATCTCACTAAATTTACTGTGTTCTGAGCCAAAGAAAAGGGCTTTTAAATAGATGCGCTCGAACACTTGTAAATCAGATAGTTTTCGCCGGGCTAGATCTTCTTATCAATGGTTTTCTTGAGTATTGGATAAAAAAAAGGCATCAAAGAGAAATCTGTAGATCAACTCACCGCTATAGCCGGTGGGACGTAGCAGTTCGGTGACTGCATTGGCCAGGGAGACATCCGATAGTCCTGATGCTGCAGATCCTCCGGGTTCGGCTCCTGTTCCTGCCATGCTATTCGTTGCAGTGGGCAGGATATTCACTGGAGCCGATGGAGCAGCAGCTGTCGTTGAGTTCTGGGTGGCCAGCGAGCGGACAGTGACATTGCTACGCTGATTTAGCATGTCACGGATCTGCTGGCTGACGGATGGGGTTTCGGCGGGGATTCCGTGCAAATCCGAATTCGGGGCCAGGTTGTGGACAACGACGCCGTGACGGATGTAGTCATCCACATCGGTGGCAATGTGGTTGCAATAGGCACAGTTCAAATAACCGTTGCTAGCGAAGCTGAAGCGATGGATCCTCATGTGCTCCCGTATGCACATCACGGTGTGGGCGCAGAAGCCACAATTGGGGGCCATGCAACGGAAACGATCCGGCACCACACGGGTGCCGCTATCACTGAAAACGGGAACGTTCAGGTGTGCTGGTGGGGGCTTAGGTGGAGCTACCGACGAGGCCGGAGTGGGAGTATTTAGGACAGACAAGGGTACAGAGGACCCGTTAAACACTTGGCTGATGGCAAGCCCCAGGCCACTCGGATAGTTGATGACCGTTGGCTGTTCGCTGGTAGTGCCAGTGGTGGTATTGATGGCCGGCTCCTCTGGCGTCGTTGTAGATTTGACGCAGAGAAATTCACCCAAGCCGGCGGCATTGAAGTCCACTTGATTCGGGGGACGTGGCTCCGCCCTCAGCAGACCCCTGAGCATGCCATTCGGTTGATCTTCCCCGGTAGTTATTGCAGTCGCTGCTGCTTCTGGTGCTGGTGCTGCTACTGCTCCTGACGCTGACTGGCTTTCTTCGCCAGTTTGTGGCTCCGCCAGGCGGTCGCCAGTGAAGCGGCGAACACGCAACTTAAAGAGTGGCTGATCCGTACCGGCTGCAGATTCCGCCGGTTCATTTGAGTCCAGATCCATTACTTCAAAAGTGACACTGCGCCTCCGATTCATGTGCTCCTCCGTCATGTGACGCAGCTCATCGGCTATGCTGTGTGGCTGAGGATCTCGGTTCTTGCGACCACGCGGACACAGGGCACAGGTGCCGGTCCAACGCACCTTCGGATGCTCCTGGGCAAAGTGGTTCTCGAGGCCTTCCAGTTCGTTGGAGAAGAGGAATGTGCAGCCCGGATAGATGCAATAGTAGGCTGCGCACTGGCCAGCCATAGGGCCGACTCCACCTTTGCGATATGCCACGTTCTCCACCCGCTTGAGTGGGCTCTTGCGCGGAACGGCCACCGGAGATGAAGGCGTTACAGCAGCGGAACTCTGCGAGGGCGGTGTCTCATCCTTCTGGGTTTTTATAGTGATGCTTGTGGGGGTTGTGGAGGTGGTGGAAGTAGTCTCTGGTTCCAGGGGACGCATGCGGGGCATTAGCTCGCTGGGATCAGGTGAATCCTGGCCATCGTTGCTGCTCCCACTGGTACTTCCATTGGTACCCGATCTGCCCGACCGGCTGCCCTTGTTCAGGCGCGAGCAGAATCGAGAGAATGACTGGAAGGGGTTCTTGGGGGCCTTACGGTTGTCTTCGGCGGTCTCCAGATCAATCCAGTCATCTGCCTGCGGTTCCTCAATTTTTGGGTCGTTGTCAAAGTTAACTTCCACATCGGAGGCATCACTGCCAATGCCGTCGAGCAGATCGGCGTCCAGTTCGGACAGACTAAGATCCGGATTCAGCAGTGTCTTTGGCTTTGTGGCTTCGGTGGTGGCTGCCTCTTCAGGCTCTGCCTCCATTGGCGCTTTCGTTGCTTTCTCAGATTCTGTCTCTATTGACTCAAGATTGGCAGACTCCACTGGCGGCTTTTCATCGTCATTCTTCACACCTTCAGCCACTTCCTGACCTACATTTACAGACGTATCCATATCCACATTCTCCAACGGCTTTTTCTCGACCAACATGTTCTGGTCTTTGTCCTGCAAGGCCTGCTCTTCTTCAGCGATCTCCTCCAGTGCCATTGTCATATCGTGGTCCATCAGGCACTCGTTGACCACCGGCAGCTCCTCCTTCTCCGGCGGTGGCAGCGGCAGTGTCGCTAGCGGTGCTTCTGCATTGGTTTCCGGTAATATCTCTCCTTGTGATCCTAGCAGAGGTTCCGATTTACACTCCTTCTGGTCCTCGGTTTCGTCTTCCTTCTCGCGCTTAACACTGTGCAACGACTTTTTGGTCTTATTCTGGAAACGAATCTTGACCTTCTTTTTGGGTCCTGTCTTCTTTTTCGCAGCCTTGAATGAGCTAGGACGTTCATCGTCGTCGCCGTTGTCATTGTCTTTACTATTTTTCTTTGAGACTTTTCCAGCTGCCTTCGTCTTGGCCTTAGTAGAGGTGCCGGCGGCCTTGGGCTTTGGATCTGTCGTGTCCATAATGGCATTCCTTTGGTTACGCTTGACTATCTTCTGACCCTCTGCCAGTGACGCCGCCCTGGGCACGCCCTCAAGGGTGCAGAGCAGTACGCGCTCACGCTTGAGACCCTGAAGATCCGCCTCCAACAGGCCGTGCTGCGTCTGTAGATGCCAGTTCATGTGATCTTCGCTGACCTGGACGAAATTACAGAGGTGGCACACGTTCAGGCTTATGGGCAAAATGCCGCAGTTGTCGTGCTTCACGACGGTGGCATCGGGAGCACAGGTCTTTATATGGTCCTGCATGATGTGCAAGCGATGTAGCGCCATCAGGCAGTGCGAGCACTGATACCGTCGCTCACCCGTGTGAGTGATAAGATGCTCGGCCAGGTTTAAGGCACGCATATTGATCACCTTCACGCAGAAGGGACACTTGTAGTAATAGACTTGCACGGCGCCCTGCGCAATCTTGTAGTCTGGCCGCTGATTGCGTCCGGCACGCAGCTCGTCGAGCATGCCGGGCGGCAAGCGGGCGCCGTAATGCTCTCCATGGTTCTGAATGTAGTGAAGGAGCGGGCTCTTTCGGATATTCACGTTGCAGACGACGCAGGAACTGGTGGCCGCTGATGTGGCATGCCATTCGGGATTAACGTTTCGGATATCCATCGGATCAGATGTCTCGCTGAGCCTTCGCCGCTTCGCGGGCCTCTCCAGCTCTTCTTCGGTCAAAAACGTCTTCCCCTCCCTGACCATTTGCTCCAAGATGCGATTGCGCAGAATTTTGACAGTGCAGCGTTGCTTCTGGGCCAGGACGGTGGCTCGATTCAAGCCGCTGTTCAGTGAACTCGGACCGTGGAAGCGCTTGCCCCGGCGGGCCACATTTCGAATGATAATGGGAGGTGACATGTGGCTGCTCCTACTATTGTTGGTCTCTGTCGGCGGCGAAACTCGCGGCATTGATGGAGTGCGCGAACGCTGGGTACACGCCCGACGGCCCGTGGCCCGGAGCACATCCTCACCGTAGTACATCATGGCAATGTCGTCATTTAACTTGTCCAGCTCGTTGCGCTTGGGACGACGCTTGTAGATTTTACGTGCCGGCGGTGGCTGAGGTAGCTGTTGGTGGTCCTCACTTAGCACCGCCACATCCGCCTTATCCTCCGCATCCCGGACGCTCCTGCGGCGCTTGCGACTAGTGGCTTCGCTCGATGTAGATGGCTCGATAAGCGCAACATCAGTGGAAGCTGGAGCCATCGTGGCTTTGGGTGGTTCGCTAATCTCAAGATCGGCGGCAGCTGAAGACGTAGTGGCCTTGGTTTTCTCGGACCGCTTCGATTTGTTGATCGACCCCAGGCCGAAGCAGCGTCGGCTCAGTTGCGTCTCGTTGAAGGAGGACTCGGGGGCGCCGCGTGTGCGTCGCTTACCAGTAATAATATTTTGAGTAGAGATGCGGCAGTTGTCGCTGGTCTTCTCAAATATGTGCGCCAGATGGCGGGCACGCTGCGTCTGACGCTTTTGCTCCTGTAGATCCTCGTATAACAGACTGCCGCCGGTAAGAATCTCCTCCTTGTCTACTAAAGGTTGGCTGGCCTTGGGCACCATCGAGTACCGACGCTTCATGATGCGGCGCAACTCTTGCAGCGGCGGAGCGGGCACTTCAGTGTCGTCGTGCTTATCCGTAAACAGTTCCAAGGCCTTGAAATCGCTGGTCATTTTCGTGTCCTTGCTGGCCAAAGGATTGGCGTTGTCCGCAATGGTGGATTTCTCGCCATGGAGTAGCGTGGAGTGTGCATTGGGGCCGAGCACTATTTTCATCTTTGAGAGCTTCGGTGGCTCCGCTTTCTCTTCATCCGCTTCGCCTTCTTGACTGTCGTCTACCACGTTGTTTTCGACTCCCTTCTCCATGACTTCGCCATTGACCAGAGGGGGAATCTTCTTGGCGCCACGCAGCACTGCCATGGCGTCCAGCTTCTCGTCAGACTCCTCGGACAAGGCTGGTGACGGCCCGTTAATGGGCGAGACCTCCTCGACAGGCGGCTCGTTCTCCAGATTTTCGTTGTTCTCCGAGCTCGCAACAATGGTGACGCTATCAGTGTCCAAAGCATCGTGCGACGATGATGACTTCTCCTTTTCCTTTTCCTTGCCTTTGTCCTTGTCCGCTCGCTTCTTGTGCTCCTTGCTGGGGTTGCGGCCCTTCTTGTCCGCCTTCTTATGATGCTTCTTAGTCTTTGACTTCTCCTTGTCCTTGATTTCCTCATCCGTTTTGGTTACTTCCATGTCCTTTTCCTTGTCCTTATTATTACTCTTATGACTATTATTATCGCTAACTTTTCTAGCATCACAGGATTTGCTCGGAGACATGCGGGGGGTTGAGCTTCCGCTGCCGGCAGCATTGACATCGCTTTCACCATTGACTGAACTGGGACTAGAGGCAACCGCCGGCGATTTTTTCGGTATACGGAAGTCAATCTTCTTACAAGAGGCGCCGGTTGAGTTGCGGTACAAGGTGTCCAGTTGGGGTTCTGTCACAGGTCCTGCTTGTGCTGATGCTGGCCCTGCTGGTAATGCAGCAGTGGCAGCTTCCGCTTCCCCTTTGTCTTTATCCTGCGGAGTCTCCTTCTGAACGGCCTCCAAGAGGCGTTGCTTATCTGCCTCCAGTTGGCGCAGCTCCTCGGCTAACTTGGCCTTGGCCTCACGAGCCTTGGCCTCCCTGTGCTCACGATAGGTGCGCGCTACGTAATTGGGGTGTCCAGACTCTGGTGCGGATCCATTGCAGGCAGGTCCCGCATTTGGTCGGCCAAAGCGACCCATTGTCGTCGGGTTGTGGCTTCCGCCGCGGAATCCGCCCCTGGAGCTGGCCGAGCTATTGAAAGCACTTACCGGAATGTGGTTCGGATTCGCAGACGGATTAGCGCCCCAGTTCGGCTTGGTGTACTTGTTGGCATTTCCAGTTCCGTTGCTGGTGGATGGCCAATGGTTGCTTTCATCCATGTTGGCGTAAGTGCCATTACCACGGCGTAGATCGCCGGAATATGGCAGCGTGTGACTTTGGTGCTGTTGTGGTCCATGCGAGGATTGGTTCCTGCCCATGCGTGGATCACGAGGATTGTGATTCTCTCGCCGAGGATCCCAACTTTCAGATCCGTTGAAGGAACGCCATGAATCGCTGCCATAAGACCGCGATGACATCGGTGAGTGATCTGCCTCCTGGCTGATGCTGCTGCTGGTGCTGCTGGTTTTGCTAACGTTGCCTGATGGAATGTTGCCAAATGTGTACCACGAGGAAGGGCTCGGCTTCATACTCGGCGCTGGTGGTATAGGCGACATTATGCGAACCATCGGCGGCGGCGTGACATTCCCGACGTTATTCGAGCTCGTATTGCTGTCGTGCTTGGGCAGGGCGGTGACTAGGGTCTGCTTCTTGCCACGCGGATCGTTCTTGTTCGATGCCAAAGCCATCGCTGAATGATCCTGACCCGTTGCAGCGGCGCCACCCCGCAGGGCAGCCAGTTTCTTGCGTGCCTCCTCCAGAGAGTTGGATGAATTTGAAGGCTTGCCTGGACTAGGAGTCGATGCGGATGAGATGCTGTAAGTATCTATCTCCGGCGATCGGTGGTCGCTATCTTTGCTGCCCTCCTGCATAAGAGGCGTTGTGCTGCGACGTACGAAATCCGGTTTATCAGCCGGGGCGCTGGGCAATCGGCGGCCTAACTGTGGCAGCTTCTCCAATGGGGTTACTGATGGATTATTCTGCTTGGCAATAGCCGCAAGGTGGTTGAACTGCGCCTGCGCGTTTCGCAATTCGATCTCCTTTAAGCGCGCCTTCTGCATAACGTCCAGTACACCGCCTGGCTCCGGGAGGATTACTTTTGGATTTGGTTTTGGAATTCCTGGAGCTGGAGCCGGTTGTGGAGTTGAGCTTGTTTTGATGGTATTGCCTGGAAATGGCTTGGAGCCTTGAGTCTTGTTGGTTGCTGGAGTTGCTCTTGGGTCTTCACGTGGCTTTGCATCGGCCGACTCGGAGCCAGGCGCATTCGAGGGCTTTGCAGCAGCCGCGGAGCAAGACGGTAATTCGTTCGAATTTGGATCGGTGATGTCGATGACATCGTTGAAACTCTGAAAGAATAAAATTTGAGCACGTGAAACTACAAACTGAGAAACGGTATGCACTCCTACTTACCGGATTGAATTTCGTTTTTAACTTGTTCACAATCCTCTCGATCTTGTTCAGCGTGAGCAGGGAGACGTTCCTGTGTGGGAGTGTTTATTAATAATATTACCATGTTGTGGGTTTCAAACTAACTTACTCTCGCTCCAACAGTGCGATTAGTGCCTGCAGGCGCTGCGACTGCACCTTGGACAGGGAACTCGTATTACTCTCTCGCACGCTGCGAATGAAGGGCACTTCCTTGCGCATCTCCAAGAGCTTGGCTCTGGTCTCCAGGTGGGTCACGCTCGTCATCCGATATTCTGCGTCATTATCGTCCATGCTGCCTCCGACGGCGTCGCCGTCGTCGTCGTCTCTTCTCTTCTCTAAGGCGGCTGCTGGAGTAGACGCAGGGAGAGAGAGGGCACACACACACACGGGTTAGCAAAATGTCATAATAGGTGTCCTGGAAGAAGAGTAGGCGTCGGTGTCCCTCGTCAGGTCGCTTGCTGCCAGCTCTTCGAGGCACACACAGACCGGTCGGTGGGATGTACTCACCGTATCGCCGAATAACAACACACTACAACTAGGCAAGTACGACGACAACGAAAGCGACTACCATAATAAAGCGGCATAAGGACTCACTCTGCGGGATACACTCCTATCCTGACCTTCTTTTCCAGAAAAGACGAAAGACGGCGAAGCCAAGCACACAAAACGGCGTCGTTCCACGAGTGACAACAACGGTGGCGCCGATGACCGAGTGCGGCTGCCTATCGATGAATCGATTTTTCGTCACTAATTAGCTCGCCCCTTTTCTATATTGATAGTTAAATACGCAAGTCGTATCCTGCTCCGGAATGTGCAAACTAAGCCTGTAAAAGGTTGCAGCACTTAGTTTAATATGAAAACTAAAAACTCAGACTAACTAGAGTCGCAGTCCCCAGATAGTGCGATAGTCGAGTATCGTACCTTCTCTAGGCACGGCCGCACTCACGTTCCAATTTTCGCACATAAAATCTAAGAACGGCGAAAAATAGAGGAATACGGTAAATAACTCTCTGAACGAGACACCAGGAGAAACAAAGAGGACGGCCAAGAACTGCGAAACAAAACTATGGCGAAACATTAAATTCGCCGCAGCACTGCAGTAGTATTAGTGAGAGAGCTGGTGGTTGTGTTAGTATCGTAGGGCGCGCGGTCGGAGATAGGTTTTTGTTGTTGTGGTTTTGTCGCCGTCGTCGCTGTCTGTGTTGTTTTTGTTTTCCAGAGGCTCCGCTCGCTGGGGCAGAAAAAAAAACACCGAAGATGGAGATGATCGGAAGGCCTTGAACCCCAATGGCTGCGCCATACTCCACTTTCAAGTCGTTTTTTGGGACTGATTCCAGCGACAAATACAAATAACGGACTGCTTCCTGTCCAGATGCATCATCAACACACACACATGCCGTCTGAATGTGGAAACTTGGAAGGCAAATTAAATGTAATACGAAGGAAGGCACAAAGAAGAGACAAAGATCTGCGAACACATGATACAGCTTTGGACTTAAGCAAGGGTTTTATTTTCTACGCGATTCCAATGCATACACATTTCGTGGAAGACAAATACCTATCAGTGCCAAGACGGCCAATGTAAAAGAAGATGTTCAGACATCCAGCACACGTGAGAGGGACGCAGCAACAGGATGGTGTTAATTCGCTTCACAGGGGTTGCAAAACTCAAAAGAACACTGTACCCGTGCTTGGTGACCTACCCAACGGAGAGCTGGAAGCTTCTGGAACAACTTTAGAAAAATTAAATTTTACGAATATCTTGAAATATATTTAATTTTTTAATTTCTTTATGGAGACATCAGAGAAGAGGTCTCAAAACCCATTGGTAAAAAATTTCTGGGAAAGTGATATATATTTATTCTATGGTCCCTAGTTTTAGATTTCTAGCGAGCCGGCTGGATCAAGTGAAAAACAGATCCAGAATCCGGTTTATAATCTCCAAAAATCCCATCATTTTCAATTTTTTTACCTTTAATATATTTGTTATCAATTTGAATTAAAATGTCCTTAATCGGGACGTATTGGATCGCGGTTTAGAGTTACCGAAAGTACTGGGATTTTATTTATTTAAATGGTCTCTTTTTGTATACTTTGATTTTGTAATGTCCTTGATTCGGATTCAGCTGGTCAAACTAACTCTGAATTGGCCAGTCACACACCAGGGTTCAAAAATGATTCTGTTTTTTTGTGGCTTTGTTTTGTAAGTTTTATAAATTCAGTGGGACGGTGCTCTGTTGAAGATCCCATTTTAAGGACAGTGTTTCTCCAGATTATAACTGAAGAATGGCAATCAGCATAATTTTTTCCCATTGAGTGATGATTTCTTAATGATATAATATTGATAAAAAAGAGAAAAGTTGAAATTTTATTGGGCTACCATAGGCATCAACAACTGCTTGTAGTCATCTGGGCATTGCAGCAACAAACTTTTCCAGCCCTTGACTTGTTATTTTAGCCGACTTTCCTTGAAGCCTCTATTATTGCGAACTTTTCGCTCCAAAATTTTCCAACCGTTTTATAATTTTTAGTCCACACTTTGTGGCTTTGTAAATAATTGCCGGGGAGCACAATATATAAATTCTTCACAATTTATGTGGTGTGCTTGGGATTATTATCTTTTTGGAATAATTTATTTTCGGAGGATTTCTTCTATATTACATTGTTATTCATGCCCTTGATAGCCATACAATATAACTTTGTTTCGTATACCAATATTATATCATAAAATACGTTATCACGTATTTAAGAATTGATGTATTCTATATCGGAAATATAGATTATGTTTATACAATCCCCAATTTCTGCATTCAGCACATTTAATCGGGCAGACACGTGTGCATAGATCCCATTTGTTCTGAAACACACGATTACAAACTATTAAATGCCCGTAATACATGAAATAGTGTGACACCACCAAACTAACTTCGTTCACATTAGGTGGCCACGCTGAGCGATGTTCCAATAAAAGACAATTAAATTTACTAAAAAAGGATGTGGATCCAAGAAATCTTATTGGAGTTATACCGGGTAATGATGCCCAGGTTAAGGGCATTGACTTTGCTCATTTTATTTCATTATTATCAAACAAATGTTACAGGTCTGGCAACTTTGTTAATATGAATCAATTCGTGAATTCAATTGTGTCGCATAAACCGGGGCTACTTTGATTTCACGTATTCGAGAAATCATGAAATGCACAGGATAATCAAAGCATCCTTTTCTAATTTTGGCTTAGCAACAACTATTGACGTGTCGTTATGCATTGGACAATCAATATTAGGGGACATGGAATTCTTCCCGGTACGTTCTGCACGAAAATGTTGCAAACACTCGACCGAACACACTCCCGTAAAAGCTCACACACACACACGCTCGCATGCCCATTGCGCACACAGAGACACGAGTTTTTTTTTCCGCTGCGCATTTTCTTGCACAGTCTGTACCGAACACAAGCACACAAGACTAGTCGTGCCTGCTCTCCAGCACTCGCAATTTACTTATTTTATTTAACAAAATGTTCAGAGGACTTACCCAAGTTGTCTCGATGTTTTCCACCTAGTTTCTAGAGAGTCGTGCCCTTGGACGACCCCGGAAAGAACGCTGCGATGTTAACGCTCCAAAAGTTGACGATGAAATGGACGAACAACCGTTTTGCTCTCTTCGTTTTTCGCCTAGCACCACCACCGGCGAACCCGCACGAACACAGCCGAGCGCCGCTCACACAGACACGGCGCTCGTGTGCACACCGACACGAGGAGGCGAATTGAATTTGCCGGAAATATCGCGGATCGCAAGTATCGGGGACACGATGTTTCTGCACTGCTTCTGTGTATCGAAAGGTTTTTTCTTTTATTCTCCAGCCTTTTTTAGCACGATTCAGGAGCTCTGTTCGGTTCGACTAGTTAAACTGTGAAATAGTTTATTGAAAGACAAGGAAAATTCCTGTCACAGTGCTCGTAATTTCGTAGAAATTCATCGATAGGACTCATATCGATATGCTCATACTGGGCGGATCGTGAGGACAAAACGGACTGGCTGATAACTAGCGGAATCTCTCTCTCTCTCTCTTTGCTCTATTGCACGCATACATACAATCTTGAGTGTGGGTAACGGAGTAGCGAAACTAACCGTCTTTGCCAGTCCTCTTTTCTATACAACGTTGTTATCGAGTGTTTGCATGGCTTTTCCTGGGAAAACGTTGTCGTACAGCGAATGTAATATAATAGGTCTAAGATAGACTCGTTTCGGGCTTGGGCTTATCGACCAGTTCGTGTTCGTTTGTTACTTAAATAATGCAACTCTGAATTCGGAACTCGGGCAATGAAAATTCGAGCATTCACAACGAAACGTAAACAAAGATGAGAAATATGGAAGACGCTTAACGGTGTCCAATAAGCCATTGGTGTTTCCGGTATTTTATCGAATTTCTTCTATTAAATTAGCATTATGAAACTTAATTATAATTAACAAAACAGCTCTTTATTGATGACGGACACTGTGCATCGCCTATGGAATTAAGTACACAATTATCGCGCTAAAAAGGTTGTGTAAGAGGACGGCAACAGGCGAGGAAACGGAAGTCTACTCCGTTCTGCCGCTCCGTTGACCGCTCTTGCTTAGTACTAAGTACGATTAAACGAAATAAAAAATTAATAATAGTACAAATTAAGGCAAAAAAAAAAACAGAGTACTACCAGCTAACTTAAAGTCTACTGCTCTCGGCGCCGTTCTGTCGCGCCGAAGGAGCCTGCTGGGCAGACTTGTCGTAGCCATTGCTGGACATCTGCAGGTGCTGCGGCAGCTGGGCCGGACGTCCGTTGGAGGGCAGGGTCTCGTCCACGGAGAACACGGAGTTGTCGTGTCCGTGCATATGACGAGCATTGAGCACGGCGTCCGGATGGGTCTTTGGCGACTCCGGCTCCACCGAGTCTTCAGCGGTCTTGCCGTCCAGCAGGAAGCACGTAATGAAGAAGAGTATGGAACCTATAAAATAGGAGGAAATCATTAGATGATATGCTCTATCGATGGCAGTGTCATCTCCACTTACTGATGCCATAGAAGCCGGCGTAGAAGATCATGATTGAGCCGCGGTAGCCCAACACCTTGGCCACAGGATCCACCAGAATGGGCAGATTGCCACCAATGTTGTTCATCACAAACAGGAAGACACCGATGGTGGAGGACCTCACGCGCAGCGGTACAATCTCCACCACAATGGCAAAGACGATACCGAACCACATTTCGGCAAAGAAGTAGCTGAGGCCCAGCGTAATCATGGCCCACAGCGGATCGAAGTACACGGAACCAAAGGCCGGAAGTGTGGCAATCAGCTGGCTGATGGCCAGAACAAAGGCACGCGACCGAATGCCCATCTTGGCCACAATCTTGTCGGACACAATGCCACCGACGACGACACCCACACTACCGATTCCAATGGTGACACCGAACAGCCACCAGCCTAGGTCCACGTCCGGAAAGTAGGTGTTGTAGTACAGGTCGGCATTGTAGGCAAAGGTCATGCCACCGCAGTGCCGAATGGAGGCTGCTATCATAAGCATAATCATCGCAGGGCTCTTGATCACCTGCCACAGGCTTACCGGCTTGCCGCTGGCCGTCTGACGATCACCCTCACCAATGGCTTTGCGCTCGGGCTCTCGCAGGGTGGTACCCGTAAGGCCAGCGACAATCACGGTCAGCACTCCGGCGCCCAAGTAGCACACACGCCAGCCCAGATCCCAGAAGTTCAGCTTGGTGATGTATCGGCCAACGGGGAAGGCAATGCCATAGCCACCATAGATGCCCCAGTTGAAAATGGCCATAACCAGAGCTCGCTTGTCCTCGGGGAAGATGTCGGACATGATGCCTGTGGCCAGGGGATTGCAGCCTGATTCACCGGCTGCCATCACCATGCGCAGAAGAACCAGTTGCCAGTACTCCTTGACGGTGCCCTGCAGGATCATGGCAATGCCGAAGATCACGGTGCAAACGGTCAGCATCTTGACTCGATTGTACTTGTCGGCGGCGAAGCCCATGAAGACGCCGGCAATGGTGAAGATCAGGATGAAGGTGGGACCCGCCAGAATCTGGTAATCGATGCCGAGACCATTGTAGTTCCACTCGCAGTACCCGGTCCCATTGAAATCGAGGGCATAGCAGCTGGACTCGTTGCCCACAGCCGAGCACTGGGTGGGCAGCTCGTGACGATTGAACATGGAGTTGTTCTGTTGGCAGGCATGGTCACCATAGTCCAGTTCGATGGCAGTCTGCTTGGAGGTCACGCCGATCAGGTAGTGTCCCAGCTCGCCCAGTATATACCCAATGGTGAGTATGGCCAGGACATACGAGTTGTAGAATCCACTCAGCTTCTCCAGAATCGGTATCATTTTGACTGTGCTTGTGTCTGTGTCTCTGCGACTGCAATGAGATAAGGAAGGAGGAACCGTGTGTGTGTGCTCTGATTAGTCTCAGTGACATTTCCATACCCCAATAAGAAGATAAACAAACCCCCAACTGGGGGAATCCATCAGCAACTACATTTTTCTCATTTGTACTGCTATCCAACAGGTAGCAATCAGCCGAGGAAAATTATAATCAAACGCCGCGACATAATGACAAATAATCTGCGAGCTCTCAATTAATGAGTTCAGGCTGCCACAGAGAGTGAATGATGGCCACGGGTCACCTGCATCCGATCTGTTGTCGTGACTGGAATTTCGAAAGGAACCTGGCCTGAGACGACAACCAAACCCCATAATTCTCCCTCGCAGCGGAATGAAAGTGAAGGCAATTACGTGTACGTGATGTGGAGAGCCGGTCGATCCCTAGGTTAAGACCAACTCAAACTTGTTACGAACTAACAAATAGATAATACCTATAAGACACAGGGAGCATTCTTACGATTCTACGAAACATTCTACAATAGTTTCTGCTGAGAAAACTCACCCAGCTAGAGTCTCAAGTGTCTAAATCAATTTGTATTTTTCGGGTTAATTCCCTTCATGAGTTTTTGGCAAACCTCCATTAGCCAAAGCTTCACAATAATCGTTGTTCGCACAACTGACCCGGCAACAGGTCTAGGCTGACTCTGATTTGGCTTGCCCCGCCAACATGCCTACCTCCGAAATTCCTTTAATCAATCAAGTTAATTTGCTTTTGCTGTCTTTCTTTTTTATACTTTTTTGGCTGTGTCTTACAATTGTTGCGCTGTCAAGCCGCCAAGGTCAGGCCCAAGAATGGCTGAGAACATTATTGCCAAACAGACGGATATGCGGTAGGCGAACAAAGGTCTCAAGAATGCGGATGCTCGGACCAGACCAGACCAGACCCCTGCCAGGTGCTATTGACTTCGGTCTAGGCTATGTATATTCTCTATTGACCATTTAAGCATTGAGCTGGTGTGAGGGATTGATTCACGATCGTGAATCAAATTTGGAGTGCTTCGTTTTCGACTAATGTTCGGTGCAATTTTAAATAATAATAGCCATTAAGCCTGGCCCATTGTAAGACCCCATCTGGCCTTGATCATTCCACGGGGCATCATTCCATGGGCCAGTGACAGTTATGGGAGCCATAAATATGAGCATCACCGTTTTGGCTTAAGCTGAGTAAAGGCACGTGAGTCTTTGCCGCCGTTGTTGTCTTATATGCAGATTCGATGTAGGAAGCTGGGCATTATTGTGTGTGATTGTTGACGGCTTAGCGAAACGCCCAGACAAGACCTTGACATTGGGTAATACACAGAGACTAGGAAGCTTGAGATCAAACGTTTCTTATGGAAATCGAAATCGAAATCGAACTCGAACTTGGACTCCAACTCGAAGCAACATTGCAGCAAGGCTTAGCCTTGGCTTTGGCCATGCATTACATCCGTTAGTGCGTGCGCTGTAAAGCTCGTTTTCTATTTCTAGTTCAATGCCAAGGCGCCATGCGTATTAGATCAGGCCAGGCTAGGCCAGGCCTGGCCTGCAGCAGACCAAACCGGACCCGGCCACAGACGTGACTTGTGCCTCTTGCCCCGCTGCGAACCTTGCCTCACACTCGTTGGCTTTCTTTGGCAATGCCAGAATATTGCCCAGCCGAGCTAAGCTCGTTCGAGCATTAAATTTAAGTGCACTGGCAGCAATAAAATTATTGCAAAATTGGAATTGTTGCAAGCATAAAACTGCTTTGATTTGCATTTAATTAGGGCCTGCACATAACTTGGTAATGAGTTCCCTTTCAAAGGCAACGAACTCGGTGTTCTTCTTCAAGTGATATCACTTGAGGCAAGTCTCTTTCTATCTATCTGGGAGTTGAAGCTGGAGTCCAAAGCTCTGAGAGAATGTCAAAGTCAGGCCTGAGATTACAGCATCGAGACTGGGCCTATGTTCGTGACAAGATTAGACCAAGAACGGTCAGGCTTGGCTGCCTCGAATGGAGAGGCGAGGGAGGAGAGACTCTACTCTGGACAGTGAGTAATGGGCGAGTACCCACCAATACCCTGGCCATGTGTCTGTGCTCCCCATAACTTCTCCGAGTTCATTGGAAACTGTCTGGCCAAGCTAAGCTCTCCGATTCGATTAGCTCTCTCCCCTCTAATAGGCCCCTTTTAAGTTGTCGTTCCAAAGCACTTTGAACAGAGTTGACAGACGGACAGACACAACGGCACTCAAGCATGCCCATATTCCACATTACACATTTTACAATTGTATTAGCCTGGCTTTTAAGCTGGCCATTGCAACCGCATCCAAGGTCAACTTGGCCCCCAATTATGAGAGGCGTTGATTCTTGGATGCTGATTTTAATAAATTGTTCATAAATATTGTTAATTTATTGGCCAGACCCCAGACGCGGCCAGGTGTCTGTCTCGCCCGCAATTAGCAGTTACTTAGACGCAAGAGTGGGTGGCTCAACGGGCAGCGAGATATCTTTAGGGTCACTTGGACTTGCGTGACCACCTTGACATCGACATCTAACGGTGTGAATAATGCTATTTACACAGGTAACGCCCCTCTGACTTTTGGTTTATGCATTGGCACTACTCGCACAGGTGAGACAACTGGTCCGAGCCCAAAACAAATAAACAAATGAAGCCATTGAAGCCGTTGAGTGTGGTCAGTTAGCAGTCGCTAAGTGCCATCACATGGTGGCAGCAAGGTGCGAAGCCGGATGTGTCTGTGGCTTGCATAAGGATGGATGATCAGTCAGGAAACTGGAGCAACTGGTAACCCCCCCAGATGACACATTTTAGTCTGGAGTTCTGGGCGTATCAGGAAGATCGTTCATCATGACAGAGTCAGAGTTAAACTGAAGTGAATCAGTGGTTGCCAGGTGTGCCGTAAAAAACCTGCACCTGGCAACTGGGAAGCAGGTGGTGCTGATACACGGGGGTGTCACCGTTTCATCGATACCGATCAAAGCTAATGCAAATGCCATGTATTGCGAATCGTGGCCACGTGGAATCGGATTTGCTCTCCACCCCTTGGGATGCCGGAGGGAGGATGGAATAGTTTTAGTATGGAAATATAATTTAATGCGGGGCATTTATTAGCCGGGTGGTCAAGCAAGTGGATCATGACACGATCAAAAGCAAGTCCCAAGATCATCATCATTGCCGCGCTCGGACTTCGGAAAAAGATGACTGACTGACTGGTTGGCTTACCGGCGGACTGTATAACCCGAATTACGGGTAATTACGTCGTCTCCAGCTTGTTCGACAAATGCAAATCAAGCGGGGAATATATGTATATATAAACACATATATGGAACCGACTACGGAGATACCCCTCTAACTGTTCAAAGGTCCCATTACCACAAAACTCTACTACTAAGTGAGTGGCTTTACTAATTATATTTAATTATTGTTTTAGAATTCCTGGGACCTGTGATCGTTGTAGTTTAGGGCCATAAATTAACCATTTATATCGCTTGAAAATCGTAACAAGTGCATAAGTGGATCCATATGTTAGATCGGGGTGCCCCACTATATATATCCTACATATAGGTACGTAATTTACGTTTATGGCATAATTAGTGATCGAACAATTAGGTGATTCTTGAGACACTCGTTCCTCGATGCGAGAGTTGTTAATTAAAGTGATTTATCCGCGACACCTGGCGCAACCTTTCTAATTGTTCCAGGTAATATAGAGACAATTTGCCATTCCCTTTTGCAATTTGTGGGAGAAAGGTAATTGGACAAGTGATCTTAGCTGTTAGAGGGTTAATGGGTTTTGAAGAAATTACTAGGACTATATACTATATATATATCTAAAGTGTCTAAAAAATGGTTAGTTTCAACTATTAGCTGATGGAAAAGGTTATAGAGAAGATAGTAAATACTTTTAGTTTTCAATAATTCAATTTTGAATATTATATATATTTCCCCCACTCAATTAAATTGGAATTTCGATTCGAAAAACTTAGCTCATATATTAACTATAGAAAAAAAGGGGAATGCTAATCAAAATCAGACACTTATGCAATTGCTCATTAGCAATTTGAACTTGTCTTCATAGTTTATTTTCTATTTTTATTTTTTTGCATCGGATGTCGGGGTCTTCGTGACTGCCCACAGACAGACACCCAATCGACCGATCGGACCGATCTCCTCCCCATACGCTCCCCAGCTTCAGCTTCAGGTTCAGAAGACGCCCACCAGCGGGATGTGAGTTGAGACTTTGTTGCTTTTGTTGTGAATATTGTTTGAATATGCGAAATACAAATGCGATTCGTGTTGCTGTCTAAATCAAAGTTGAAATTAAATGATTGCCAGTGTTTTTTGTTAAATAAATTCGTGTTTAAATGGTGCTTTCAAACTGTGGCGATAATGTCAGATTTATATAACACGTTTCAAACAAATTGCTTTGTTTGCTACTTTATTCCACAGACCGAAGAACATCTCAAGATGCTCCAGTTCGTCTTGCCTTTTCCCTGGGTGGGGATGGGTTCTCCTCTTCCTGTCCTTCACTGATTAGATAGCTTCATTAGCTCTTATTTTTTTTTGGGCGTGGGAGTGGCTGGCGATGGCATCAGTCAGTCGGAGTCCGTAGTTTGTTGACGGCAACCGAGTTGCGTCAATATTGATCAGCTTGGAACACGAAACGCTAATGGTTTACGCTGTATGTTGTTATAGTGCCTCAAGTGGCCTGAACCCCCATCGGAAGGGGTTTGGAAGCTCATATTATTGCCGCGCTTATTAATGATATGGCAAATTTCAAGACTTAGACACCTAATCACAGACAACTTTGTTTACAGTTAACACTTCTGGTCGTGGGTGATCAGTATATACACATTTACTTTTACATAAATTGAGGGGATAATCACTTTGAGTTGAGAACCTGTAATGATCCGTGAAAGTGGTTGGATCTCACATTGCTAGGAAGGATTGTCAGGAGTCTCCTTGTTATCTTAGGGCTTCTTCTCCTGTAAACTTG